ATTATAACATTCCATTTTAGAAATAAATGGGCGCAGCAACGCGCGCCAACAATGATCTAGTATGAAAAGAAGCTCTGGAGTCCAGAACCCACGAGGATGTACCTGACTGTGTAGAGGGTGGTTGCTTAGTGCGGGAAGCATCAGACATAAGCTGCAGTACCCGTCGAAGGAGAACCTGAAGCGGCAAGCAGACGCTTAAGTCGTAGAATATCCTGCTCAGTCAAGGCGGTGGCCGAAGATGTCGAAGTAGAAGAAGAAGTCCTTAAAGCTGATGATTGCGCCTTACGCAGGTGTTTCTTCTTCTGGAAGCACTGAGACTCAACATGACCATCCATATTGCAGTAGCCGTAGTGAGGACGGGACCGACCCTGGCCGCCTGTAGGAGTAGGCAAGAGCGGAGGATCACTGGAGCGGGATGGGGTCGGTGCAGAAGGCGACATAACACGAACTCGAGCAACGAGAATACAGGGAACCTCAAGTAGACCGGCACCACGTAGGCGAGTCTCCTCAGCACGAATCTCAGAAAGTGCCACCATGAGGGAGATACGACCACGAGCAAACAACTGAGCACGCCGGGACTCAAAATCCTTACGGAGCCGAGATAAGAACTCATAGACACGATGAAACTCCAAATCAGCCCACACAGCCTGGCAAAACTGACAAGTATGACAACCAGCAGTGCAGAGAGAATCAAGCTGGCGCCAGATAGCAGAACTCTGTGCATAGAAATCGTCAACACTGGAGTCACCCTGCTGAAGAGCATGTTCCTGCTGGACCACGGACATATATAGAGCATCACCAGAGGGCTAATAGCGCTGACGGAGACGGGTCCACATCTCAGATACGGTAGGAAGACCCAAAAACTCAGAGGCAAACTGAGGCAGAACACTAGCAGTGAGAACACCTGCTGCACGGGCATCCTCATCAAGCCACTGAGTGTAAGCAGAAAGAGCCTCATGATAAGTCTGAAGAGCCTCCTCATAAGTCGAAACCTGCTCATCATAAGCATGGACGACAACGTTATCTGCAAGCTTAGTTGCATCCTTCGCAGCTTGATCAGCATCAGCAGCAAGAACCGGTGGCGTCGGCGAAGTAGGGGCCACAGGTGCAACCGGACAAGACGGACAACGAACCTCGCCCGAAAGAACGCCCCAAAGACGAATGCCACGCATATGAATGCGCATGAAGCCAACAAACTCGATGTAGTTAGTGTCATCAAAAATCACCAGACAGCGAGGAACAACAACATAGCCCGAGGACAGAGATATCGCGCCTGATTTTTTTTCAAAGCAAACCAGCCGCAGATAGAAGCAACAACAGCTGTACTAGATAGCCAACAAAGTCAACGAGACAGCAAACAATCGGCTGGAGGAGAGCCTTGAGATGGCAACTCGTCCGCTGCCTCGTATCCGGCTGGAGAACAATAGATCGAGCCCAGCTGGACGGGACGTCGGCAAAGCTGAGCAGAGCAGCCAGTGAATCAGCAGATCGGGCGGGCGGCTAACTAGAACCGGCGAGCGGCGGAGATCGGCGGCGGAATCCGGCAAGGGCGCCGGAGATCGGTGGCTGGCGGCGAGATCCGGCGAGGGCGGCGGCTGGGATTCGGCGAGGATGCGAGGGCGGCGGAGATCGGCGACTGAGGGACAACTCGATCGGGGGCAGAGGAGAACAGCCCGGTCCTGTCGATCCAGCGTCGGGCGGGCGGGACCAGGGAACACGTCGTCCTGGCGGTGACCTGCAAGGGAGAGGAGCAGGGCAGCAGGCACAGAGAGCTAGCGGCGGCCACAGACGATGGTAATGGCGCGAGGTGGATCAACTGCACGAGTTGCACCGTCCAAAAAATTGACCTAACTCTAATACCAGGTTAGGAAATATGCAACTTGTATTTTTAAGAGGCCATAGGCCAGTATATATACATGTACAGATGTGGAATATATGTAGGAAACACCTTATACAATAAAGTAACACGAAAGGTTACATGGTTATATATATAATACTCTAACACATATAACTACAGTGATGGATGGATGCTTATCAAACCCATTTCGCAAAAGAAAGTGGATGCTTATCAAACCCGCATATTTTTGTCACAAGCAATTTTTTTTCCTAAGCAACATTACTACATCCCCAATAATAGCCAAGGTATTCGACGCCATGCACTGTGGGTGGGCCATGTTGCAGCGTTCTCACTTGCTGAAGGAAGGGGTGCAACTGGTGTTCTTATTAATAGAACTTGGTACTAGAAAGAGAAATATCATATGCAAATATATTATCTTAGACAACTTTTATGGTTGTGAACTATCAATGAAATTTAAGAAAGTATTTTTGCCTAGAAATGGAAGAGACAACCTAATGATCGCATTGTTATGCATATTTTATTTTAGTTGTTATGGATCCTCCAACATGCATGATTTATTTCAGCCTTTGCTAGCCTTAATTCCCGTACTAAGTATGAATTTTGCTTGTGCATTCAAAAACCTTGAACCCAGTCTCCTCCACAAGTGTCCACTATACCTACATGTGGGTCAAGAAAGATATTCCAAGTAAGTTGACATAAAAATACTTGTCTCAACGTGGGAAGGTTTGAAAATAAAAAGATAAAAGAGGAAAAGGAAAAGCAAAGGGAGACGAAAAGTAAGAGAAGAACCGAAACCACTACACCTTCCCACGTCACGACAAGTGGCGCACTGTCGCAGAGTTTTCACTTTTTTTGTAGATCCGTTTATTCAAAATGTTTTATCTCTTAAATCATGTGTCCAAATCTTGAACCGTTTTCACCGTTGGATTCCTCGCGTCGAGATCTTCAAAACTACATCCCATGTTGGTAGGTTTTGATGAACGTTTTTTTAACGAAAAACCGAATTGAGAGCATGTTTTTTCCCTTTCGAAAGAGGCACAACATGCATCTCGCAGAAGCAAATACATGCCTTTCACGAAAAGAAAAAAAATGCATTTTTTCGTTTCCAAGAGGCACGGCCGTGCCTCTCACAGAAGGAAAAAAACACACTTTTAGCGCATTTTTTTGGTCCAAAAGCTAAAAAAGACCTGTGGAAAACCAAAAAACCGAAGAAAAAAACATCTAAAAAGTTGAAAACGCGTGAGGGAAAATAAAAAATATTTGAACGGAGCGCCCAGAGCTGATAGCGCCAAGTGGCGCGCTCTTTACCCTTCCCAGGTGACCCTTGTAGGGGCTCCCGAAGTAGTACTCCTTCATTAGTTTTTCATGAAAAGAACGACCAAAAAGGAAAAATACAGAGAAAAAGGAAGTAATAACTTAAAAATAAAACAGACAAAAGCAAAATAGGCCGGTCCATTACTTGGGAGCGCGTTGTATAAAGGATAGGCCCATCAGTCCGTCAATATAGTCCAAGCTCCAAACCCTAGTGTGAAATTAAGCCTAGGACAAGGGCACAGCAAAATAGATCAGCCGCCGCTACCTTATCGATCGCTCCTCTCCGGCGTCGGCGCGTGTCTTCCACCGGGCTGGGTCACCGGAACGAACACCGCGCGGTGTCGCCGCCAACCCGCGCCGCCCGTACATCGAGCACCACCACCACGGACCACAGCTAGCATAGCACGAGCACAGGCAAGTGTAAGTCGTCTGATTTCCGCATAACTCAATCTAGGCCTCGTCGATTTGATTTCGTTGTTGGAGTGCATAGACGGCATGGTTAGTAAATTTAAAAGCCATGCATGCACTTTTTTTTCTCTAAACCGAAGGGTAAGCAATTGATTGGATCATAAAAAATACCGATGATCCCTAAAACATTGGATCTGCATCTTAGGCTGGTCATAGTGGGGAGTAACATATAGTAATATCATGCATATGATACTAGTGTATGATACTACATCCATAGTGCATAGTATCATAAAGTAGTATCATAGGTGGTCTCATTTATTGCCATGCATGACACATAGTAGCATAACATTTATTATGTTACGGTATTTACCTATGCTACTATGACTCTCTCTCTCTCTTCTTTAATTATCTGCCACGTAAGCATGTTTGCAAGTCCCAATTAGGCTGGTTGTAATGGGGAGTATCATATACTAGTATCATGCATATGATACTAATGTATGATACTACCTCCCTAATGCATAGTATCATATATTAGTATCATGTAGTACTCTATTTATTGCCATGCATGGCACAAAGTAGCACAACATTTAATATGATACGGTATCATGATATGATACTACACCCTCTCTTTCTTTATTTAATGCTATGACACATCATCAAATTTGCCTAGTTGGCATGCATGATACTAGCTATGATACTACCATTACGACCAGCCTTATATGATACTACTGTTGTTACCCCCACTATGGCCAGCCTTATACCCACAGGTAATATGCACGTAGTAATGTAGCTGCTATTTATTTCATTATGTTTTAGAAGTTTTTGCTGAACTATCTGAATAATTAATGATACTACTATAACTCATGAACACCATAGGAAGTGACCTAATTTCTTGTTTTTTCATGTTTTCTGACGTGTATGACGTGTTATTTACCGGAACTGTTTTTTATGTGTTCTTGTAAATACTACTGTAGTCCATTTTTGTGTCCACTTGGAACTCGTCTGCCTTCTTCACCGGTACTATTTGTACTCTGTTGCCGCTTCGGGTAAACGATTCAAAAACTAAAAGTTAGGCTACTTCTGACAAATTCTGGTCCATTTTCACCCTAGCTAGAGATAGATTGTTCATGGGAAATCACTATGTTTTCCAACGCACACACAACGAAACTATATGCAAGCAGAGGTAGATTGCTAAGATCTGATGGAAATACACTTCCCTTAGTACAACTGCATGTTTTGAACCATTTTAATTCTGCAAATAATTAAACAACATCTCAGTTTTGCTGACAACTGCTTCATTCAAAATAAAAGTGATCGTTTGATTGAGTTCCAACGTAACTTATTGGCTACCATGACCAAAGAATGAATTCTTTTTATGCTGACCTTGTCAAATTTTCCTTTCAGTAATCTGCCATAAAAGATGGATTCTAAGAAGGTGATTACTGCTGCTAATCATCTAACAAATGATCTAGTGGTGGAAATCCTCTCTCGGGTGCTGTTCAAGACTTTTTGCCGCATTAAATGTGTATGCAAGGCATGGCTCGCCTTCCCTTCTGATCCTCACTACAACCGGAAGCTGCCAAAAATTCCCACCGGTGTTTTGTGCAAAGGCCATAACGGGTCTTCTATCCAAGTTGTTAACATGTCCCCAGACGACAAGAAAATTGATGGAACTCTTAGATTCATACCACATCACGAGCAATTACAAGTTGTGGATTGTTCCAATGGCCTAGTCCTTTGCCGCTACAAGAGCTTCTATACTTTTGGAAATACTTGTCGCTTCATTGTGTGCAACCCAGCAACACAAGAGTGGAGAGCTCTTCCTGTTTCTAACACTAACAATCACCCATATGTCTCAAATTACTCCCGTTGTACAACTTTTCTCACCTTTGATCCGTCGTGGTCGCCACAGTTCTACGTCTTCAACTTTCTGCAGAATGCCAAAGGTCGGCCAATGGGTATAAGGAAACTTGAGGTGTTCTCTTCTGAACTTTTCACCTGGCTAGTGGATGATGCATGGAGCTCGGATCATAGGCTACGGTTTAAGAACCCACACAGTTTTGTAGGTGGTGTGTTGCATGTGCAGACCAACAAAACAAACGAGATTCTTGTGGTTCAAGGCCTGGAGGCAATGAGTTCTGGCGTGGTGCCTTGTCATTACATTATCCGGCCTCCAGAAAACTGTTTGGGTGGTTGCTTTGGCCAATCTTTGGGGGTCTTGCAGTGGGCATGTCCAGAGGAGAGTGGCCACGTAATTAAAATTTTCCACCTTGATGCTTATCGCCCTTGCAAGTGGTCTCTTAAGCATCGTCTTCGCATACGGGATGCATTTGAAAGGGACGACTTTGTTCCCATTGAAGAGTACCTACAGTGGTTATGTGATTTTGAGATTGTTGCTCTTGACTTTGAAAGGGGTGTTATCTTCCTCTTCGAGAAGTACGAAAAAAAGCTTTTGTGGTATAACATCAACACTGGGAAGCTTAATGAGATCAAAGATGATCGGTTCACCCATGGATGTGAGTACTATTCTTATGTGTCATGCTACTCAAAGCTTCCGGCCTGAGGCAATTATTTGATGAACTGAGTAACATCACATTATGTGCATTACTTGTTTGCTGCACCTTTTCTTTTGTCATTTGTTGTGGCTACATGCCTCTGTTTCTCCTCTGTCAGACATAGCCAAGAAACTTGTTAAGTAATTATTCAATTTTTCTATGGAATGTTAATTAATATTCATGTTCCTTCTGTGAATCACATGCGCAAGTATGCAGTATGATTTTGTTTTCCACCGCAACAAAATAATGTTGTGTAACCTCAAGGGGAAAATTGAAAATTTTGATACATCAAATTGGGTGATGTTGTCACGCTTGAGCATGACTTTATGTCTAACCCATAATGTTAAATAATAGCTTCATTGTCGAAAATTCGAATCTGAGCCCGAGCTCATCTGCACCTGCGCTCACGAAAAAAATCAAAATAAATACTAGAAAAATTCAAAAAATTCCAAAAAAAATAGGGTGGTAGACAATTTGATGCGTGAGGTACGCTCCAATTTTCAAAACATTTGGACTTCTGTGCAGCTCTCAGCAAAAAAGACAAATCGGAGGTCTGTAAAAATGTGTACTGTTCATATACTGTTCTGGTCTAATTTGTCTTTTTTGCTGAGAGCTGCACGGAAGTCCAAATGTTTTGAAAATTGGAGCGTACCTCACGCATCAAATTTTCTACCACCCTAATTTGTTTTGGAATTTTTTGAATTTTTCTGAATTTTTTACGAATTTTTTTTGACCGGGTGCAGATGCACCCGGGCACCGAAACGCCGCTCTCACTTCATTGTTTTCTTTATTTCTTTCTTTCTTTCACCTTCTTCTCTGAACCGCATTTCCCGCCGCAACAGCAGATGTAGGTGATTCAAAAGCACCGCGACAGCTTATAAGGGCATCTCCAATGCTGACCCTTAAATCGAACATTGTACCCGTCCCAGACTAGTAGGGATCAGTCTATGGACAGTGATGCGGGAACCAGCTATCCAAAGCTAGCAGCAAATGTTTGGTCACATTTTGAACAGAATTTAACAAAAATAGATAAATTTGATGCAAATTTAAACAAACTGAACGATTATTCAATTGGATATTTTTTGCATATCCGGACGATATTTCGTTGAGGTAAAAACTAGTAGAACAAAAAAAAACTACCCTGTACTTGACGGTGACCTTGTACATCGTGCGGGCTGGCTGGAGGCACCATTGTCACCGTCATCGTCTGGCTTCGAGCGGTGGTAGGGTCACGGCAGGGCTTTCTAATTGCCGCCTGGCGCTAGCGGAGTATCTTCTCCATTTCGTCTTATGCTGCGCGTTGTGCGGCTGAGGCCACCGCGGACGTGGGGAGAGACAGGCGACTGCGGCGGCGGTCTCATGGAGAGATAACTCGTCGCCGTATTTCACCCTCTCCTTGTCGAGGCGACGGAGACGACGCTTGCTCATCTCCACCATAGTCTTCCACCAGTCAAAGGCTCAAGCCGTTGCGAGCATCATAGTCCGTGAACTCTGCGAGGACGAGCTGCGTCCACGACCGCTGCCGAGGTAGGGCAGGCCACCTCCAGCGCGGCTAGGTGGTGCCGACAACCGCTCCTCCTTGACGTGGTGGGACGGTGGCGATAGTTGCTTCTACTTGATGCGGCAGGGAGGTGGTGACAACAGCTCCTCCTTGATATGACGTCCAATTTGGACACCGTGGTTTCGTAAAGGAGATCAAAAAGGGAAGGAGGTTCACCTTCACCCAACGGCGAGGAGGCGACTGAGGCTTCGGCTTAACGTGTAGAGAAGCGTCTCCGATGGCGCCGCCGGACCGAGGTCGTAGTGGAGCGAGCGCTAGAGCATCAAAGACATATATGCTCCTCATACTCTACATCCGTACCGCAATCACCGAGTCCTACGAGGGGACGGGCGTCTGCGGAGGCTGGTCCTTCTCGTCGCCGGAGAAGATGACGATCTCCTCCTTCACCGAGGAGCCGTCCGCCAAGGGGCGAGATGGCCCCGGAGAGCGAGGGCGACGACGCAGCAATCCAGAGCTGCCTGCCGGCGCCGAGGTGCAGGACTTGCCTATGGTCGGTGAGTGAAGGAAGGCAGGAGCGACAGATGTGCGTGAAGAAATGGAGTAGAGAGTGTGTTGTGGACGTGGGTGGTGTCGGCGCCGTGCTTAAATAACAACGGCCAGGCGAACAAATAGTCGGCCAGCTTCAATGTGACACATTTGCCAAAGTTGGTTTCTCGGGACAACACATCCACATTTACGCGGCGTGGTCCGAGTGGTCGCATCGGTCAACGCTGCCCTCCCGCCCGACCACCTCGAGCGACGTCAATGCCGACCGCTGCAGCTCTAGGTCGGCATGAATGTGGCGCGGGAAGCAACACATCTACTAGAGAGACAACACGATAGAGGGTTCTGGGTGGGGTCAGGTTGTCGGATGTGTGCTTGGCAGCGATCTAGACACCCACAAAGCCCCCGGTTTGGTTCCAGTTTTCGGAAAAAGGACATTCGGATCGGTCCACGGACGAATGCAGGACCACATTGAATAACAAAACATATTTGAACTGCGCAGTCCAGACAAATGCATGGGTTTAAGGGTCAACATTGGATATCTACAACTGTAACACGTCTTTTGCATGAAAAGAAGAAGGACAAGCAAAGTAATAAGCCCACAGAAAATGCTCAAGAGTGAATCTGGCATGGTAAGGAGTACTTTTTTTTCATCATGCCCAAAAGAAGAGGTATAAACTGGGATTTACTCTTTTATTTATAACCATTTTCTAACTTCATAAGTTTATTCTGGTTTAAACTTAAAAATCTACTCAACCAAGACAAATGGTGAATGTTGAAATAAATTTCTTAGCTCATAAAACTACCTAAATTAAACACATGCACTAATATGCATTAACTGTAGCGAATGCATGAGCGGCCGCTAAATGAGCAGAAACATTACATGCATTGGTGTTTTTTAATCCTTTCTTGCAAAATGTGTCTTGAAATCTTACTTTTGGACACTGATAACTGTCACACGTATGTCACAATGGATACCTGATCACACGAGTCATGTGGTCGTACCCAGGAGACATCCCACATGGTCCCGTGTGGGCGAACATTAAAATCGCCCACACGTTTGGGTGCTACTATGACGGCCCACATGACCCTGTGTGGCAACTACTCACCCCCACCACGTGAGTGCAAAAGCCGTGTGTAATCAACTTTAGTTGCCATGTGTAATTAACTGTAGTTGACATGTCTGTCATGTATCATTAAATACAGTTGCCATGTCTAACTAATTAGAGTTGCCACGTGTGGTGAAACCATATTTGCCATGTATTAATAACCATAGTCGCCGTGTGTGATTAACTAATTGCCACATATGCACACCTGTAGTTGTCGTGTGTGGTTAAACCATAGTCACCATATATGATCAATCATAATTGCCGTGTGTGATTAACTAGTTGCCATGTATGCACACTTGTAGTTGCCATCTATCATCTTGTGAGCGTCATGTGGGCGAAGATGAGCAGTTTCGCCCAAACGTTCGGGCGAGCGTCCTGTGTCCGTTCGGACGAGGAGCACCCACACGTGTGACACTAAATGATAACGCCCAACGATGTTGTGTGCTTACGTGGCTCTCGACCTAGATAACAACTACTCTAAAAAATTCGCGCAAATGAATTGAACAGCATCAAATGCGTATGGGCGTGTTGTTAAGTGCCACACATACAAGCGTTATCATTTGGGTTACTTTTGAGGGGACCTTAGAATCTAAACAGTTTTTCTAGGGGCCCAACTAAACGGAATTCTTTTTGAGGAGTGGAAGATAAACAGAATTTTTTTTAGGAGTGGAAGATAAACAGAATTTTTTTTGGAGTGGAAGCTAAACAGATGATGAAGAGAAATAAAAACGGTCCTAACAAAATGAGAAAGCAAAATAAAAATAAAAAATAGCTACTCTCAGCCCATAGACCATAGCTGCTCTCGGCCCAGTGCCCCCAACCCCGCTGCACGGTGGCACGCCTTGGCTCTCCTCGCCGCCGCCGGAGCGCATCCGCCGGTGCGTTGCTCTAATTCCGCCCCGCCCGCCGTCTTCACCGCGGCAACTCGACCCCCCTCAGGTATTCTCCCCCGGACTTGGGCTGTGGTCGCTCACCATTCCCTGGACTTGTTCCCATCCAAACCCTAGCAGATCCCCTTCAGAGCAAGCGAACCATTCCGATCCGTGATGACCCCTAACGTATAGATCTATGGGCACTGTCAATTGCTCATGGTTTTCCTGTTTGGAGTGAGCGCATACACCTAGAGAGATCTGAGAGAAAAATCGTCTAAGAGAAAAAATAAACTTGTATGGAACTAGGTGACGAGTTCGCCATCTGCCATAGCAGTTCAGAGTTTCAGATAGTTAGGAACTTGAAATTGATAGGATGGAGATGGGGATCGATAGGCAATTTCAAAATCGGATGGCTTGGTGCATAAAGATTTGCATTCCGGCTGTGTTTGGAACATCTAGTGTGCACGTGCGTACAAATATACTCCCTCTGTTCCAAAATTGTTGTCTTAGATTTGTCTAAGTACGGATGTATCAAGTCACGTTTTAGTATTATTAGGTACATCCGTATCTACACAAATCTAAAACAAGAATTTTGAGACGGAGGGAGTATCTGTCATTCTAAAAATAGAATACTCGGTTAATTTATCATGCATACTTGAATTTAGATATTGAATCACATTGTTTTCGAACACATGCAGTTAAGCTATATACATGTGGATGTGGATATGGATATTATGAACACACGCTTTCTTGTGTACTGCATGTTTCAGACCACTTATTTATCTTCTGCAATCCTAAACTGTAGGTCAGTTTTGCTAGCAACTGCTTTGTTCTAGATAAAACATATATTCAGTGGATTGGATTGCATTATGACTTATCTGTTACTACGTTCAAAGAATGGTTTCTGTTTTTGTTCTAACATAGTTGAATTTTCCTTCCAGTAGAGTAGGCTGCCATAAAGAGATGGATTCCAAGAAGGTGTTCGTTGTTACTAGTCTAACCGACGATCTTGTGGTCGAAATCCTCTCCCGGGTGCCGTTCAAATCTTTTTGCCGCTTCAAATGTGTCTGCAAGGCTTGGCTTGCCTTCTCCTCTGATCCACACTACCAACAGAAGCTGCTGAAAGTTCCCACTGGTCTTTTGCACAAACCACAGTGGATCTCTGATCTCCAGCTTCTTAGCCTCCCTGGGAAAGACGAGGAAATTGATGCAGCTCTTACGTTCGTGCCGCACTACAAGCGCTTAGAGCTTGTAGACTGTTGCAGTGGCCTGATTCTTTGCCGCTACAAGAGCTTCTATACTTCTCTAGAGATGGGCCGCTTCATTGTCTGCAACCCGGCAACACGAGCGTGGAGGACAGTCCGTGCTCCTGAATCTCACCCTCACCCACTTGAGTCAGATGGCTCCCACTGTAGAACCTTTTTGGCCTTCGATCCGTCATGGTCGGCACACTTCTATATCATCAACATTCAAGAGAATGCCGACGGTTGGGCATTCAAACTTTACGTGTTCTCTTCTGAACTATCCACGTGGCTTGTGGATGGTACATGGAGTTTTAATCCTAGGAGACTTAATAATAAACCACACAATTTTATTGGTGGAGTGTTGCATGTGCAGACCATTATTCGTGATATTCTTGTGGTTGAAGGCTTGGAGGCAATAAGTTATGGCATGCGGCCCAATCATTATACTATTAAGCTTCCAAATGACTGTTGGGATGGTTGCTTTGGCCAATCAGCGGGGTTCTTGCATTACGCGTCTCCAGAGGATGGTGGTCGTACAGTTGCAGTTTTCAGTGTTGATGCGCATCGTCCTTGCAAGTGGTCACTGAAGCATCGACTTTGTATGCGGGATGCATTTGGGAGAGACATCTTTTCTTGCAGAGAAGGGTATTTGTGTGACTTCCGGATCGTCGCAATTGACTTGGAGCGAGATGTTATCTTCCTTTTCGATATGGAGGCACGGAAGCTTTTGTCATACAACATCAACACTGGGAAAGTTAGTGTGATCAAAGATGTCTGGCTCTACTGGTTTGGGGACTTTTATTCTTATGTGGCATGTTACTCAAAGCTCGCTGGCTGATGAGCCATGTATCCGAAGTAGTTAGTAGTAGCATCTCTTGTATGCATTTTGTCTACTGCATCTTCACTTCTCATTCAGAGGCTGCATCGTCTGTTTCTCCTCTGTCAGACCTATGCAGTACACTTTTAAGTATTCATGTTCCAGTTGTGACACCCATGTCCCAAGTTTTGAGTTTGATTTCCGCCGTAAAGAATTGTGTTGGTAATAGCATCGTCGCAAACGGGCTCAACCTCCTGATGAACATTCTGACTAAGCAAATTAGCTGCTGTTGTCATGGTTGAGCACAACTCATGTTGTCACCCAGAATGTTGTCCCAATAGCATTATTGTTTCTTTTCTTTTATCTTTTACTCTGAACGGAACAGCAGCTGCGCAATTGCTCACTTCACTTGCAACAACTTCCACCCTTTTCTTTTGGGGAAGCGTATGTTGCCAGAGAGATTGAACATTTAAAAAGAAATCAGAGATAGAAGAAACACGAGAACATGTCGATTATACCAGCAGACATCTCTCTTCTCCTCTCGATCCTCCTGTTCTAGATACACGAGGCACTTTAATCAGTAGTAATACTCCTGTAACTTGGTGTTAAATTGCTCCAGTGGCTAGTGACAAACTGACAATCGTGGAGGAAGGAATGGCAACACCAAGAGTTGGCCTCTCCTGGAGCGTCTATATTCTTTGACGACATCAATGGTGACAACTGTTAATTGACCTGATCTGAAGAAGATGCCACGTAATAGCTATTGGAGTCCAAACATTTATAAAATTTTCAAATAACGCCATTGGACACAGGAATCCATTATATATGTTCGTTTTTAGACACGGATCCACATTATATGTGGACTGGTATAAAGCTTGCTTGTTTAGCCCATCGGCCCATCAGGGCGTAGCCGCTCCAGACCCCCATCTGGTAGCCACGATCTGTTTCGATTCCGTTTCCGGTTCTGGCTCACGACTGCACAGCAGCATCGAGCAGTCGCCACCGTATCGATCCTTCTCCGGCGTCGTTGCAGGCCTCTCCACCGTGCTGTTCACCTCCTACCTCGTGGTGTCGCCGCCCATTCGTCGACGACTGCGTCCGCTCGAAGTCGTCTCAGCCAACCGCAGCATCCGTCCTCTCCGTTGGTGGTTCCTTGCTTCACGGTTCACGCTGCTGCAGACTGCACCGCCACCGCATATACAGCTCCAGCACAAGGTAAGTCTACATGTCCTCACAACTCAATCTAGGCCTCGTCGATTTGATTTCTTCATGGGTAGCATGTCCCGGCAACCTCAACCGAAAGTTAAGCGCTCTGATTTGGCCTAAAAGTCCCATGATCCATAAACCTATTTTTTTTTTCATCTTATACCACACGTGCGTAATATCGACGCAGGCAATAATGTAGCTGATATTTTGAAATAAATTGGTTTAATTCCTTTAAACTTATTTGTTATCCTGTTCAAAGAATAATTTCTTTTTTCCATGTTGATCTTGTCAAACTTTTCTTTCAGTAAACTGCCATAAAAGATGAACTCAAAGAAGAAGATTATTACTGCTAGTCTACCGGATGATTTGATGGTGGAAATCCTGTCTCGAGTGCCGTTCAAGTCTTTTTGCCGCTTCAAATGTGTTTGCAAGGCCTGACTTGCCTTCTCCTCTGATCCTTACTACCATCAAAAGCTGCCAAAAAAATCCACTGGACTTTTGTACCATGGCCAATACGGGTCACGTATCCATCTTATTAGCATGTCCGGAAACGATGAGGAAATCGATGCAGCACTTAGGTTCATTCCACAGTACAAGAAATTAGAACTTGTGGACTGCTGCAATGGCCTAGTCCTTTGCCTGTACAAGAGCTGGTATACTTCGCAAGGTACTCGCCGCTTCATTGTCTGCAACCCGGCAACAGAAGAGTGGATGGAGCTTCCTGTTCTCAATACTCTGTATGGCCCAAATGTCTCCCGCTATACAAACTTTTTTGCTTACGATCCATCATGGTCGGCGCAGTTCTATGTCTTCAACTTTCAACGGAAGCTCGGCAACACTTCACGCGTTGTCAACAAGCTTGATGTGTTCTCGTCTGACCTATCCACGTGGCTTGTGGATGATACATGGAGGGGGAATCATGGGATATTTGTCAATGAACGACACAATTTTACAAAGGGAGTATTGCATGTGCAGACCATGTGTGATGAGATTGTTGTGTTTGAAGGTTTGGAGACAATGAGTTCTGGCAAGTCGCCCTATCATCACACTATACAGCTACCAGGTGACTGTCGGGATGGTTGCTTTGGCCAATCAGCAGGGTTCTTGCAGTGTGCGTTACCAGAGAAGGATGGTGGTGCAATTGTAGTTTTCAGCCTCGATGCTTATCGTCCTTGCAAGTGGTCTCTAAAGCATCGTCTTTGCATGAGAGATGTGTTTGGAACAGACAACTCCCTTCTCAAGGGAGAGTATTGGTCCTGGTTACATGATTATTCGATTGTTGCTCTTGACTTGGAAAGGGAGGTTCTCGTCCTCTTCCGTAAGGAGACAAATAATCTTTTGTCATACAACATTGGCACCGGGAAACGTAGTGAGATTAAAGATGGTCAGCTTGATGAGCAATGGGACTGCTATTATTATGCGGCATGCTACTCAAAGGTTCCAGGGCTGAGCCGTTCATTTCATGTAACTGAACAGTAATATTTCTTGTGTGCATATTCTTTTTCCTATAGTTGCCGTGGATGCATGCATGTGTTTCTTCTCTGTCAGATGCACATAGGAAAACTTGCTAGTGATATTCAGTTGTGACACCTATGGCCAATTTTGCGCATGTTTGAGTTTATTTTCCACTGTGCAGAATTATGATTCTTAGAAAAATCTGCTAGCTTTTTATTGATCAATAGAGATTATTACAGAGATGCCCACACCGTTGAGGGGGAGCCCAACCAAATCTGGCCACCAAAACCAAGATTAAACCTAGTGAGATTGTGATCATCCTCATCTGAGCGTCTACTTTTATAAATAAATAAAGTTGCGGCTAGAGAAGCCAACTTTTCTTGCTGTAATAATCTCCCCTATCTCGGCCACTTCTCCATGCAATACCACTAGAGCACCCACTACTTTTCAAAAAAAAAAAAATAGAGCACCCACTAACGTGACTTATTCTAGTTCGAGGGTCCTAACACATCCTCCAAGTCTAGTGCAAGTTCTTTAAACATGGGCAGACCAGGCTGTGTGAGTGAACGTTCTCGGCATGTTCTTTGTAGATGTGGCCGAGCATACCACACCAATCCCATAATCTCCCAAACTTTATGAAGGAAATCTCGCGCTTCACACCCCTCTTGATTG